GTCTGAGCTGGAGTGTTAACCCCTGAATGCCTGCATCCTAGTGAGACCTGATTGAAATGAGTTTGAAAACCTGTTTTTCTTAAAAGTAGCAATAGAACAGAGTAATACGTTTCACATTGACTCTATAATAAGAACTGTTCTCAAAATGTTTACATGTTTATGTGTAAAAAGCCTAAGCAGTTTATAACAGAGATGTTTAAAACAAATATCCTGGGTGTTTTTTTGTTTGTTTGTTTCCTTGAGTGTCATATTAACCTTATAGCAGCATTGTAAGAACCATTTTGAAGATGTTTATACACACACACACACACACACACACACACACACTGTGAGTACACCATTAGATGGATGCTTAATCTGACCAGCCATTAGCAGGGGAAACATAAGCATCTCATGGCTGTCTCAATATCAGACCAAGCTTACTGCACCAACCTTTTGGAACAGTTTTTGGTTTTTTTTACCAGCAACAGTCAAAGTTGCTTTTTCTCACTCTTTTAGGTAGGTTCTCCCTGTTTATGCTCTATAGAAGTAAAGGTGCCAGTGAGTTTAGTATTATGGCATATTTTAACAATCTTAAATTGTTTTTTATTTACTTTTAATTTTAAGACATAAAAAATTCAACTGAATGAGTGTATAAACCTTTTATCCTTTTCTGTCTCCAAACATTTTATGACATTTTACTTTTTCTCTCTCTTCCCTCTCTTGCTCTCCCCTCTCTCTTACTCTCTCCTCTTTCTCCTCATTTCATCCATGAAGACCTCATCCAAATTTTGTTTTCATTCCTCCACTTCCCTCTCTCTACATTCACAACCCTTCTGCAACATTCCTTTTCTTTCAAGTCAGACCAGCTCTTAAGTCCATCCTTCATGTGTTAATTTTTGTAAGAGCTCAGTTAGTGCTGAGCCTTAATCCTCCTTCAGGATGCCCATTTTGGGTGAAGATGTACAAAATGGGGCACATCTTTCAAGACTGAAAGACTGATTTTTCCTTAGTTTGGCCAATAAATTGCTACCTGAATTTAAATAAACAACAGAGTCTGGTTTCTGAAGACCAATTTTAGCCTCTTGGCTTTTCCCATTCTCTTGGATGTTAGGGTTTTTTGGTTTTGTTTTGTATTTTTTACAATTACTTTGTAAACTTCATTAACCACAGTTTTATCTACATTCTACACCATTCTATACCAAAAGCAGGCCAATCTATTTTACAAAGTACCTTAAGCTTGTTAGGAGTTAACTTAACTCCATAGTCTCCATTAAATTCCTTTTTAAAGTTATTCATACACTCCAAGAGAGTGTTTTTACTCTGATTCCCACCATCGCCTCCTGTTAACAGACTGCCAGACAGACATAGAGTGTGAGGGAACTCCTCACTCACTTTGCAGCTGGACTGTGTCTCAGCTCACATTTTCATATGCTCTCACATAGCACAGTACTTCCACCCCGCTCCCTGAACCTGAGAGACACGGTTCACGTCAAAAAAGGCGGTTACTAGGGTGTCTCGTTGGGAGGTGATCAGTCTCCCTTCTGCCTCCTGGGGCAGGCCTGAATTTGAACCTGGGTTCTTACCAGTGTAATGAGCAGTGCTCCCCTCCCCTTGATGGTTCCTGCACCTCACTGGGTTCCATTGTGCATCCGAGGTCCTCACCCCGACTTGCTGGGAGGATGAATTCCCCTCCGGATCAAGCTGTCAATTGGCGCCAGGTGGGATCTCCTGGCAGTCCAGGGGGATGCACCCTGGTGACAAGGGAGGTGATAACTCACCATCTCCACAATCCCAGATGAGCCCCCAAGAAATGTTGAGGAGTTTGCTAGCTGAAATATGAGACTCTGAGGCAAATAGCAGGAAGTAACGTTTTATTGTGCCAGCACAGATTCGGCGGACTCATGTCCAAAGGCTGAGCCCCAAGAACAAAGGGGTCTCACCTTATATACCCTTGCAAGCAGGTTACAGAAGCAAAAAGTAAGGTCTAATCCATATATGGTTATATTTAATTTAATTGGCCACTTTACCCTAGTGCTATGTGTCTTTTCCCATCCTCAGTGCTATGTGACCTTCCTCATGTTTAGATTTCTCAGGTTTTATCTCTCTGTTATGCCATCCCTACCTCTCTGCTACTTTCTTAGGACTCAGGCCTAGTCTGTTTTTTTCTGATCCTCCTCCCTGCTACACAACCATGGGCGCTCTCTCTCTCTCTCTCTCTCTCTCTCTCTCTCAAGTTGCTCTGGCTTAGATGGGTTATTATAGAAAATGTAAGCTCTGAACACCCAATTAAGCTAGTAACTAATGTAACCAAGACCCCCCATTCCCCAAACTATCAAGTTTGATTCTTGGCAAGTCTTACCTTGTGGAAATTTAAAAAACCAAAGGCAACTCTCAGGGGATAATAAATACCTCTGTTCAGAACCTATGTAGGGAAGGAGTTGGGGGCATAGACAGCCTCCCCTGCACCAGTTGGAGTGAGATCTGGAGACAACCCAGTGTCAGGGTTGGACTGCCTCTACCCAAAGAGTTAATTCCAAACTGGCCCCCTTACAAGCTAAACTGCACTTATCTAAAAGCAGTCCACTAAATAATTGCCAGGATTTACTATGTAATCCCATACATTTGGCCATAGACAACCCAGCCATCCTAGACCAGGAACCTAAAGTAGCACCACAGGTATATGGATTAGGAGCATATGTCTCAGTAAGGGACCCTCTAGGATGACTAACCCTCCAGCTGGTCATAAATACAACCTCACACTCATTTGAAGGTAGTCCAACCCTTAGAGCCTGACAAGGATTTTGGTGTGCCAAATAGTGACTCCAAGAGAGTAGAGACAGTTGACATAAAACGGACTAGAGACTGGATACGTGATAAGAATGTCTGGGTCAAATGGGTTAAATTTTCTGTACAGGCTCTTAACAAGAGCAATGATTGTTATGCAAATGCTGCTGGAAGTGCAGGTGGTTCCATTTCTTCTTAGATGAGATACTGATCCTTGAGGAAAAGGTTGCATGCTGGCCCTAAACCAAGACAAGGATGCATGGGGAAACAGACCTGTAGATTTCTGTCTTTGCTATTTCTCACTTTGCGAAGATCAGACTTCAGGGCTATCCCCTCTTTCTCTAGGGAGCAGGAACGATTCCTCTTGCCTCTCCAGGCAGGGGGCAAAATTCACTAGACCTGTGGGAGAGCTGACAACTTGTACCAATGTCTTAAATGTCACCTGGTCAAGTGATGGCAATTACTCAGCTCTCCACATACCCTGGGCTGACATTTGGTGGTATTGTGAGAAAAGGGACCTCTGTGACATATTACTGTCCAACTCCACTGGGACTTGTGCCCTCGTTCAATTGGCAATTCTATTCTCCCTGGCATTCCACCAGCTCCTGATGGCACAATCACAAAGGCACTCCAAGAACTGACGAACTGTGGCTAATGAACTGGTCAAAAATGCCTGCATTGAGATACCTTCACTGGATGCTTAGAAGGTTGGTTTGGAAAATGGAGAGTCTTGGTAACCTTGATTCTAACATCTTTCATCATTGTAGCTGGGGTCTTGACAGTGACAGGGTGTTGTATTATGCCCTGTGTAAGAGGATTAGTGCAGAGACTAATTGAGGCAGCAGTTAACAAACAGATGGTCATGACCTGTCAGCAGAAAAATTTGCTATTATTAGAAACCCAATTAGATTCACTCTCCTATGATGAGAAAGTTAACAAATTCTAGAGCAAATTAAAAAACAGAAAACACAAATGTGAAAATAAGAGCAGTATAATAAAAAGAAGAGAGGAGGGAATTTGTTAGAAATAAAGTCAGTGTTGGTCCATTTTCAAGGCAAGGCATTGAACCCTGGCCATGTGCTTATATGTCAGCTTGCAGATGTTGGGAGAGGGCCAAATGATAAGGGAACTTAACCTGGGAGGGGTAAGTCATGGTAGAGTGCAGAAACAGGTAAAAACTGTGTCAGAAAGCATGTATCACAGGGAGACCTTCCCACCACAAAGAGAGGCAGAGACCACTTCAAGCCTGCTTCTAAAATTTGATCCCAAGAGAGGCATATTTTAAAATAATCCAATAGGAAATAATGTATACCTCATAGTACTCAGCAAATGAGGAACCAGGGGAGGGACTTGTATACTAGATAATATAATGCTCTGGGGGGGGTCTCTGCTCTCCAGACACCTGGTCTTGCAAGATCACCACAAAAGTCTCTCTTTCACTGTACTCCATGTGTCTCTGAGTCTGTTCTTTGAGTTTGGATAGGTGAGCGTATTCCTCACAGGAGTAGCTGGAGAAATACTTGGTTGTGATCCCAAGAAGATAAGCCCTGGACCCACACCTTCTTTTCTGGCCGTGCCAGAACCTTGTAGACAGGGCGGGCCTTCAGCATTTTATTTCAAGGGTCATACGTGGCACAGTGCCTGCTTTGCAAGTGTGAAGCCCTGAGTTCAAATCCTAGTCCTGTGAAAGTCAAGGCCCATGGGGACTGATGGACATTTGGAGTCCCATGTCAGGTGGCCCGGCTCATACTGAGAGGCTTCCACTTGCTCTGGGAATAGGATGGCGACCTGAAATGTAGGACAGCCAGTTAAACTTGAACTTCAGACAAACAAATGGTTCCCAGAGCCAGGCATGGTGCTGCATACCTGTGATCCAAGCACCCAGGAGGCAAAGGCAGGAGGATCATAAGTTCAAGGCCAGTCTGGCCTCCGAGAGAAACCCTGTCTCAATTTTTTTTATTAAAAAAAAACAATAACCAACAAATCGTTCTTCAAAGCATAAGTATATGCCAGATGTGGCACAAGATATACTTATAAAAATTTATTGTTGCTCTGAAATTCAGATTTCATGGGACATCCTGCACATTTGTGCAGGACAAGAACTTCAGGGACAGGGCGAGGACAGAGAGCTTGGTCGGAGGGGACTGTGTTGGTGGAGGTCAGTGAGGGTGGGGATGGAGGGGTAGGAGGACGACTCTGGGTAGGTTTTGGAGGAAGCACCCTGGGCTCCTCACTGTGGATACAGTGTAGATGGGTGAGCATCTCCCCAGGAGGACTCCCAGTATGACTTAATGTGAGTGATCCTGATTGTTCGTTGCTGCCCCCTTCTTCAGCTGGTAGCTGGCAGCCAGCTGCATCCATGGGGGCTCCAGCGATGATGATGGGGACCTTGGCCCGGATGCTGGCCAGGGACCAGGGGAGGTGGACGGTGATGACCAGCTCATAGCGTGTTCGCATGATCTTGGAGTCCTGTGGGTTGCTGCTCACGGACAGCAGGAGTGGCAGCATCAAGGTGCTGACCACCTTGGTGGTGTCGAAGGCAGCCATGCGCGTGTTGACCTCTTGGTGTAACAGCTCGCTGCTGTCCAAGTGCTGGCGGAGCTGGCCGAAGGGCGTGAAGCCCTCGTACTCCACGTGTGTGTAGAGGGAGAAGATGACCTTCTTGAGACACTTGCTAGTCTCATTGTGTATTTCACAGGTGAAGGTGACCTTCTCTCCAGGCACGAATGTGTTCTTCTCCATGTGTACCTGTACGCAGACTATGCCCTGGCTGCAGCAGGTGTAGGAGACCTGTTTCTCCACTTCCACGAACACAGGACTCTGGAAAAGGAAGATTTGTGGACAGCTGTGAGGAGTCGTGGCTGCAGGATCAACTCCCCAAAGCCTCCAGGGCCTTGGAGATCTGTAACGCAGATGCCCTGACACGGATCCGAATCTGAGGCCTGGATATGTTGCAGGTAAAAGCTTGGAGTCAGCCAGGCATGGTGGCATATCCAGTCAATGAAACATCCAGCACTGTATCTAAGCCAGAGCCTGTGTTCTGCCCCAATGCCTCTATTGTGTCCCCCTTAGTTCTCATGGGGGCTCAGAGGGGACATGGCCTGCCAAGGTCACCCGGGGAGCAGTGGCCAGACTGTGAACCCAGATCAGCTGATCTCAGGGCTGGTCCATCCCTTCGAACATCTGCCCCTCCTGGTGCTGTCTGTGTGGTTGGCCAGGCTTTGAAGCCGCACACTTACAGAAGGCCAGTCATTGTCCCTCTCCTGCCTCCTCCCTTTCTCTCTGCGGTGCTGGGGTGGAACCCAGAGCCTCCTCCCAGGCAAGCGCTCTACTGCTGAGCTGTACTCCAGCCCCAGTCTGGCTCCTGGGACCTCCTCCCCAGCAGCTCTGTCCAAATGAGGAAACAGGCAGGCTGGAGAGGCTTCCCTTGAGAAGGCCATGCCACAGGCAGGTGGGGTAGCTGGGATTTGAACCTGTATACCAAGAACCAAAATGGTAGCCAGGCCTCTGTCTTTGTCATTCTAATGCCCTGGTGACAAGTGACACCCCCCCAAGGTAAGCAACCTTGGCCAATGTCATCCACCCTGCCCCCCACTTCTACCTCTGCAGCTGGCCTCAGGAAGGGGCACTGAATAGCTCCTCAGGTGACCAGAGCCACTCCGGGAACTGCAGGGACTGAGGCCACCCCTCTTCCCCTCCCCAGTCTCCAGTCTCCACAGTCTGAGGGTTCAGAGTCCCCAGGGAGCCACTGAGTGTCCAGGCCTTTGGCCATCCAGAGTGTTATCCTGTGGCCTTGACTTACTGAGGGGTGTCCTGTGTCACACACCCTCTGACTGTTCTCTGTGGGGACATCCTAGTCCTGCAGGGTGGTAGGCAGCCTCCCTGGCCTCCACTCACTCCACGCCAGGAGCTTCCCAGTCACAACAGCCATATTTGTCCCCAGACGCCACTCAGAGTCCTCTAGCAGACCAACCGCTTTTCCTTAAAAAAGCCTTTTCTTTTCCTTAAAAGGCCCCTATTGACTTTTGGGGTTGTGGGGGGGCATCCAGGGCCATCCCTGGCCTCTCTTGACTGGATTGACCTCCAGGGGGCCAGTAACGTTCCCTCTGATGGCAAAGTATCTCCAGACATTGTCAGGTGTCCCCAGGGGGTAAAACTGCCTGTAAAGAACCACTGACTTGGGTCCTGTCCTGGTGTCTGTGAGCCCGGGGCGCTTCCAAGCCCTCTTTGTCCCTATCCCCTGACCACCTCCCCTTGCTCCTGGGCCTCCAAGAATTCTCCCTCCTCTGTCCCGCCCCTGGCCTCGACTGCCCTCACCTGGGCTGCATTTTCTCGGTGGACATAAGAAGTCCCTTGAATCAATACATCCACCCTCTTCTTGGCTAAGATGCGCTCCCAGGTCGCACAGGAGGCTTGCAGGAAGTAGAAGATGTGGCAAATTTTGCTGGTGAAGGTGGAGGGGAGCTCAGGAGGCAAGTCGAAATGGAAGTCAAAGGTGTGGCTACCGGCCCTTAACCAATTGTCTGTAAGCGAAACACTTGGAGGTCAGCAGAAGTTTCTAGAATCGCTGTCTTTTTCCCCCTTTATTTTTCTCCCTTTATTCATTATCCAGACAGAGACCCAGAGATGGTTCCTGAGTTTGGCTTGTGTCTCCCTGAGCTGAACTGAGCTGGGTTGGCCACCCCAGAATGCTGATGTGGGCTTCAATGTACCAGGTGCTCTGGCCTAAGAAAGTGGAGGTTGGGCGTCAGGATTCAACACACACACGTTGGGCACCGTTAGAAGTATCTTTAAGATATTGGGGTGTCACGAGAGACAACACAACTCAAGGCAAAATTTACTTCTGCGGAAGGATGTGCACCTGACAAATAGTCTGGGAAGCAAGCATATGGGGCAGGAGGTCTGCTCGAGGTTTATCTCTAATGCAGTGCTGCCCCTCTGCTGGATTGTGCAGGTTTCGGGTCACAGTCTACACGGTTGGCTAATTGGAAAGGGACACTAGGAGGGAAGCGATAAGTGTTTTAGGTTATCAGCTCCAGAACCAGGACATTTTAACAATCCTTTGTTCTTTTTTTTTTTAAACCCTTTGTTCTTAATAGAAACTTTTATCAGATTAAACAGGGTCCCTGAAGCAAGAGTGTGGGAAACAAGTCAGTGACAAGTTAGTAACATTTGTAGCAGTGGTGATTACTAATTAAATCTTTTGACAGAAAAGACCCAACCTAAACTGATTATTTCAGGCACCTCTGTATGCCAGACATAGTTTTAGTCTGTGTGTCGAGCAGCAAGCAAGGCACACAATGCTCCCAGATTCAAGGAGCTTGACCATTAGTGAGTGGCATACAGTAGGTGCTTAATATTGTTTATTTCTTTGTTTTGTTTTTGGTGCTGGGATTGAACTCAGGCCTGACAGATGCTAAGCATGTGCTCTAACCACTAGGCTACTCACCCAGCTCCAGTGTTTGTTGATTGACCAAGTGCAGGGCTGGAGGTCAAGAGTGCTCCCTGTCCCACCACCCCCATTTCCATGACCTTCTTGTTTTTCTTTCTTGTGTTTCTCCAAAACCCTTTTCTTATTGTCTAACTTCCCCAGCAAAGGCAATCCTGAAGACATCAGAAACCGTTTTATTCACTGCTGTGAACCCAGCTCCTAGCATGTGTGTGGACACAGTAGGTGCTCAATAAATGTCTGAGTGAGTGAATGAGCCCATCAGAGGCTTCCGGCTGGTTCTTTCTGGGGCGGGAGCCCTCTGCTGTTGGGAGACTTGGGAAGACTATACCTCATGCTGGGAGTTGTCAGGATGGGATTGTTTTTGTCGAGCTGAAGGAGCTGACACTTACAGAGCACTTACTGTGTGCACAGCACCCTTCTGCGCCCTCGTATGCCACAGAGAGGGAATGCAATCGTTTGTCACCTGCACACCTGTGTGCCTGGGTCCCTCATGTCACCCAGACCTGTGTGTAAACTAAGACCTTTCTCGATCATTCTATCTAAAATTCAAGGTCTAAAATTAAACTTTGTTCAGCCACATGTCTTGTTTGGCTGTGAAAACCCGGGAAACATTTCTAGCGACACAGTTTGGGGACGACATGGTCCTTCCTGGCAGCCCAGCTCAGCATCCTGACATTGGTTGGGACATCGGACCTGAGCCAGCAGAACTGGGAATTCGTCAGCCGTTCCCTGCAAGGTCTCCCTCACTCTTGTTCGTTTGTTTTGGTGGGATTGGGGTTTGACCTCAGGGCTTCGTGCTTGCAAAGCAGGCGCTCACCCTCCTGAGCCACCTCTCCAGTCCGTTTTGCTCTGGTTATTTGGAGATGGAGTCTCAAGAACTGTTTGCCCAGGCTGGCCTCCAACCTCGATCCTCCCGATCTCAGCCTCTCAAGTAGCTAGGATGGATTACAGGCGTGAGCCACCGACACCTGGCTTCTCTTTTGCCTCCCCTCTTTCCCTGTGACCAGGACTTCTATTTTGTCTCCTTGGCTTTCAGATTTCTCTTTAAAAGAAGAAGATTTCTTTGGACCTCTCAAAGGCAGTTGGTGGAGCTCTGATGGGCTCCTGTATCTTGTTATTGTCTTGTTGCGTGCATCTGCTAGTCACCACGATATACGGCTTCCTTCCTGGGGAGGAACCAGGCCTCTGCCTGTTTCCGACATCCCTGGCAGTAGTTGATTGACTATCAGATGTGTCTCCTTTCCAGATCCAGGTTGCTATGGTGGCTACTGTCCGCTGCCCGCCTGCCCTTACCGTCCACGCGGAATGTCTTCATCTGATGCACGTAGACAGCCTTGTTGCTGCAAGTCACATCTCTGCTGTAATCACGGGATGGGTCGATTTCCTCGCTCCACTCCACGTAACCCCTCCCCATGAGCTCCACATTCACCGTGGGGTTCACCAGCGTGCTGTTCAGTGTTAAGATCACTTGCCCGATGATGGTGGAGCCGGCCAGGTGCACTGCGTCCTTGGGCAGCACTAACTCGATGGACTTTACCACAGACATGGCAGCTTGGGGTGGTGGAAAAACATCCTCCCCCCTCTCCGGAGGCACTGAGATTCCGGGTTCCTTGGCCACAGTGTCATCTCTCTGTGACGTCATCTGCCCACAGTGCCCGGAAGGGAGACCCCAATGCTTGGGAGGGAAGGCGAGGCTGTTGTCTGGGGCAGGGAGAGCCGCGGGCTGCTTGAGCATCATATGAACCTCACTCGTTCTTTTCAAAAAATTTTTTGGTGGGACTGGGGTTTGAACTCAGGGCCTCATGCTTGCTAGGTAGGTGCTCTTCTGCTTGAGCCACTCCACCAGCTCTTTTTGCTCTTGTTGGAGACAGTGTCTCACTTTTTGCTCAGAAAAACTACACTAATTCAAAAGATAATGAAACTATTAAAAAAGAAAAACAGCTGGGCCAGACGGTCTCCATGGCAACTCAACTCTCCAGTAGTGTGGAAGCAGCCATAGAAGATATGCAAATAAGTGAATATGGTTGTGTACTGATAAAACTTTATTTATAAATTGTTTTTATTATATTCCTTGATCATTTTTATTACTATAAAAATAAGGGTGATACCACTGTTTTTTGAACAGAATTAATAGGGTATATGTGTGTGTGTATATGTATGTATGTAAGTGAAGGCATTCAGTTTTAAGGAATTGGCTCAGGCAACGTGGGAACATGGGAAGTCCAAAATCTTTAGGACAGACCAGCAAGCTAGAAGTTAGAATGGGATTTCTGTGTTCCAATCTTGAGGCAGAATTCCTTCTTCTCTGGAAAACCTGTTTTTTCCCTAAGGCCTTCAAATGATCAGCTGGGACCCACCTCTGTTATGAAGGGTTAGTTACTTTATTTACAGACAACTACAGATGAAATGCACATCTACAAAATACCTTCACAGTTAGTTACTTTATTTACAGACAACTACAGATGAAATGCACATCTACAAAATACCTTCACAGCAACACTCAGGCCAGTGTCTGGCCAAAGAACTGGCCACCATGGCCTCACCAAATGAGTACATGAGCCCAGCTTCGTTGGCTGATTCCCAGGCCGTAGCTTCACAACTCAGATGGATTTGTCCTCTGGGACCTCTGAAATAAAATGCAGGGCAAGGACCCCTTCTCTAAAATGCTTGTAGCCAGAAGTATTTCAGATTTGGGGGGTTTTTGGATTTGGGGATCATTGCATACATTTCACTAAAAACTTAAAATCCAAAACATTTTTTTTTGGTGATACTGGACTTAGGGCCTTGTGCTTGCCAGGCAGGTGTACTGTACCACTTGAGCCACTCCACCAGCCCTTTTTGTTATAGGTTTTTTCAAGATAGGGTCTCCCAAACTACTTGCCTTAGGCTGGCTTCGAACCAGGATCCTCCGGATCTCTACCTCCTGAGTAGCAGATTATAGGTGTGAGCCACCAGCACCTGTCTGCTTCAGTTATTTTTCAGGTAGGGTCTTAGTTTTTTCCTGGGGCCAGCATGGACCTCGATCTAACTGTACCTCCTCTGGACTTAACTCTGTGTCTGCTGGGATGGCAGGCATGCACTACCTCAACTGGCTTATTTGCTGGTGCTGGCCTTCAACCTAGATCCTCCTAATCTCTGCCTCCTGAGTAGCTGAGATTACAGCTGTGTACCAGTGTGCCTGGGCTAAAATCCAAAGCTTTTTGAGTGTGATGTTGGACTTTGGAATATTTTGGATTTGAGGTTTGGGGGTTAGGAAAGTTTGATCATCCCTATCCCCTTTAATGGTGGCAGCTACTCTACTGGGCATGTGTGACATAAGCTATTGTCCCTCTGGCCGTCGTTTAGATGGCATTTATGTTTCAGCCTGAACCCTTTCATAATGATGACTTAAAGGTGCCACACTCTGCTTTTTCAGTTTTTGTTGGAGACAGACCCAGACCCGCCTCAGACCTTGATCTTCCTACCTTGGCCTCCCGAGTAGCTGGGATTAGAGGTGTAAACAAACACATCCAGCTTGTCTTTGCAACTTTTATGAAAACCACCTCTGGCTGGTTTCCAATAGCGATGCCTGTTTTTTTTTCTTGTTTATTTATTTTTGTGGGGCTGGGGATGGAACCCAGGGCCTTGTGCATGCTAGGTAAGTGCTCGCCATTGAGCCACACCCCCGGCCCTATTGCTTCTAGGGACCACGGAGCAGAGTCACCCCTGGCAGGGAGCAGAAGAGCCTCGGGGAGAGGGGAGGGTCAGACAAGCCACAGGGGTCAGGGCAGCCATCCTTACCGGGAGCTGCCGGGGCAGCTGCTCCGCGATCCTCTGCAGCAGGGCATGCGTGGGCTTCTGGGAGCAGAGCAGGGCCAGCTGCACGCGCCAGTCTCCCTGAAGGACCAGGCCTTTCGCCAGGATGCCCACCCACATGACAACTTTCAGGACCTGAGGGGAGGGTGCTGCAGCCCTGGCAAGACAGAGCCAAGAATATTCCATCATGGAAGGGGTGCAGGGACCCCAGCTGCTCCACTCAGGACCTCTGGGGACCCTGGCAACGTGCCTCAGTTTCCTGCCCTGGCAGGTTGAGATGAAACGTTACAATGCCAGTGTCTTCTAGAGCCTGGGCAGGTTCAGTGCAAACACATCACTGTGTAGAAGAACCCTGATACTTGCGGGATGGCTGCCAGGCCCCATGGACATCAAAACACGTTCCTTCTATAACCCAGCACAGCGTTTGCATAGAACCTGTGCATGTCCTCCCCGGGACTTAAATCATCTGCAGATGACTCAGTACCCAGTACAAGGTCAAGCCTGGGTTCACCACGTCACACTGCACAGTTTGGGGGATGATGAGAAGAAAAGCCTGTACCTGCTCAGTACAGACGCAGCTTTTTACAAAGTAGTTTCAACCCTCGGTTGGTTGAATCCACAGATACGGGATTCGTGGATATTGACTAAGAGGCATGGTAGGGACAGGGCCACAAAGCCTGGCCTCTCAGATCGGAGTGGAAAGGCCACCTCGGGATGATGCCCTCAGAGGTAAGGGGCTGTGGCACAACATACCTCTCCTATTCAAAGACTGTCCTCGTGAGCCCTTGTGTTCGATTTTAGCTTCTCAGTGGCTCCCGGGCAGGACAAAAAGAAAGATTCTCACTGTTCTTGGCCTGCTTGGGTGAAAGATACTTGGTGGCTTGGGAGACATGTGGACAAGGAGAGGCTGGTGACTGAGCAGAGGCCCAATGCACGAGCACACATTGTAACTCACGCACGCCAGCTCAATGAGATCAGCTGTCCCACAAGGCCACATGGTGTGGGGCTACCCTGGTGCAAGATGCCCAGAACAGGCAAATTCCTGTTGGGAAGTGGACTCCTGGTCCAGAAACACCTGGGGAGCTGGTGTTAGTGGGGACAGAGATCATGCGGGAGACAAGAAAGTTCTGGAGGTGGATGAAGGGACAGCTGCACAGCCATAGGGATGTGCTAAGTGCTACCAAACAGTACACCTAAAAACAGTTAAAATGGTAACTTTCATGTTGTATATATTTTACCATGATAGAAAAACACTGAATAAAGAAAATGAAAAAGACACTACCCAGAGAGGAAGAACGTGGAAAAGCCCACTCTCCATGAGAGGATGAAATTGTGTGGCAGTTACGACACAGAGGGACCTTGCCACATCCGCAGTGGCTCCTATGGACGCTGGCAGATACGTCCTCTGACCACGGAATGGCTCTGTGAGGTGGAGCCGGGGCTCAGTCACACGTGACTTCCTTCTGTGTGTGAGGGCGCAGGTTCGCGGACACGCGAGGCTTCTGTGAACTGCATTTAATTGAGGTTTTGAGATGGGGTCTCCCTGTCCTGCTGGGTGGTCTCCAACTCCTGGGCTCACGTGACACTCCTGCCTCAGCCTTCTGAGCTGTGGGGACCAGTCTGTGCCACCATGCCCAGCTCTGTGAACCACAGGCTGAGCTGCGCCTTCCATAACAAAGGGCTCGTGACATTGGGCCGACAGTGCTTGTCCTCTGAGATTGGGGGACTTTGCACTCGGGGGCTGGGAAGCCTGATGGCCACACACACCTCCAGCCTCTCAGCCCTGGGTGAACGCCCCTCGAGCAGTGATGGTGGGTGACCTGTAAGGGCCAGGGTTAGAAGCCAGGTGGAGAGGGGGTCACGGGGAACCCGAGTTCCGTGTGCCAGCGCTGCCGCGTGTCCTCCAGCTGCCTCTGCGCCAGCTGCCTCTGCCTGCGCAGCCTCTCCACCAACTCCCTTTGCACCCTGCTGCTGGACCCCATGGCCAGGGGGAGACGGGGGTCCACTTTCCTCTGCAAGGCAAGCGACATGGGGTCAGGCTGCACAGTGCATGTGGGTACCCTGGGGACCCTGGACACCCCATGTGCTTCCCGCTGCAGCTCAGGATGCTGGGTTCACATTCTCTGCAGGCTTGAAACCCTGCATCCCAAAGGCAATGTGGGGAACGGGGTGCTGAGGGGAGTCAGGAAGAAGGGGCTGGGGCAGGACGGTCAGGCAGTGCAGGAGGACACAGGCACATTCTGGACAGTTCAGGTTTTGAAGACATCAGAGTGTGTGCACAGCCTAAGATGGCCACCCCGTCCCTTAGTGATGTGACCTTACGGGACCTCATGTATTCTGCACTATTCAGCCTGCTGACTGGAAGTCACTGAGTTGCGTGTGACTGTGTTGGTGAATACGCTGTGGTTAAGGTATGTGGTGGGAAATTCAACCAAGAGCACTCACTGATGGACTAAAAACACTCACTCCCTCCAGACAACGGGAACAAGACCACAGACACAATTCTGGGCTTTTCTATGGTCTGTCCCCACCTTCCTCCCCCCACCCCAAAACTGCCTTGTTTTACAAATGGATCAAGTGTCCAGAGGGAACAGAACTAAAGACGTTTTCCAAAATAATACATAGATATCATTGATTTGTATCAATCTATGCACCCATCTACCCACCCACCCATCAATCTATCCATTCACCCTTCACCTACCCATCTATCCACCCACCTGCCCAGCCGCCCATCCACTCACCCACCCACCC